AGAAATTGTTATCTTTCCTTAAAATGAAGGTACTCATTTGAATTACTCAAAAGCTGACAACGTAGCTAGGGAGAGGAATTACTTAAGAGTTCCAAAATAGAAAGTGTCAAAAGATGATACTGGTAACAGAGCAACCCCCAAAGCTATGCTCTTTATTACTATGCCTTTACCCTTGTGTGGGGAGGCACAGGAGGAAGCGAGGATAAAGAGCTCAAGCACGGACCCCGGTTAGGAGGCTGATGCAGTCCACAGGGTCAGTGGAACCCATTAGGGTTCTGAGGCTGAGCATGAAAAGGAGAAAATGGCAAAAAAAATTCCAAACAGGCCTAGTTAAGGGATGCTTAGTGGGGTGAAAATTAGTCTGAGATAACCCTGGAACTACAACTGAGATAACTGCATGTCATCAGTGAAAAGCCATGCTGTGATAGAGACCACCTGGAAGGAGGAATGTGGTACTTTCAGTTTATTACATGGTAAGACCAGGAGGACAATTATTTAACTCTCATTCAAGTGAAGATTGTGTAGAATGTTCAGATTGAGGAATTACAATCAGGTGAACAACCAGCTATGCTTAGTAGTGACTGTGAAGCTCTGAGAAAGGTTCTTGTACCTCAAGGAAAGAACATAAGAGCTGAAGGCATCCTTCACACATGCCCTGACATCCCATCAACATCATGCTCCATTTTCTACATGGATATACCTTTGACAGTTTGGCTGCAATGTATCTGGTCCAGAACGACAACATACCAGACCTGGCTAAAAAACTTGAAGAAATTCAAAAACAACTGGATGCCAAGAATACACCCTGTAGGTCATGAACTTGACTCTAGTGTGGCTTTTATGATACCTCTTTCCCATCTGAACCCAAAACTCCAGATTTAATCTCCAGCTTCAGGAATCTTCTCCTTTTCTAGATCCTCCACTAACTTAAAGCCAAAATGTGGTCAAAAACTCAAACCTCACCTTACCTTACCAACATTCTCACCTCTTCCCATCCTTCTTCCAGGTGCCAGCAAGGCCCTAATACTGGAATTATGGTGATGTATGAGTAAATATGATACTTAGTAACTGTCTCCTCTTTGCTTTTTCTAGCATCTTTTATCAAAAGGAAAATTGAATTTTGTATAGATGGTCAGATACAAATAGTGCTGATTTTCCAGGTTAGAGATTATAATAAGCGCTTATTAAACATTTGGTGTGAAATTATGTTGTTTCAAAATGATATCTAAAATAGCCGGGAGTAGTAGTAACATGCCTTTGATCCCAGCATTCAGGAGGCAGAGGCGGGAGTATCTCTGAGTTTGAGGCCAGCCTGGTCTACATAGTTCCAGTCCAGCCAGGGCTACATGGTGAGACCCTGTCTACACCTACACACACACAAACACACACATACTAGAAGGAAAAAAACACACAGAGATAAAAATAAATTACTCAAGATACACTCTTTCGCTGTTTGTTTGAGATAGGATCTCATTATATAGCCTACAGTGGCCTCAAACTCACGATCCTCCTGCTTCATACTCCAAAGTGGAGGAATTATCAGCCAGCACCTCTAAGCTTGGGCAAGATCAAATCTTATACTATGATGACAGATGAGGTGGAGAACAATGAAAGAAGGCTCAAGAATGAGGATCTGCTTAAAGAGACTAAGTCACAAAACGAAAATCTTACTCTATCAAAGTACTTAGCAAAAAAGACAGTTATCTGTGAACAGATGGTTAACAATTGCACTCAATATCTATCAGAACCCAACCTAGGGAGACATTTAGAAAAACAAGGGAGTGGTTTGCAGTAAAACATACTACAGGAGAAAAAGAATGATTATAAAACACCTAGGAAACTTGACAAGATTAAATGCACCCTGTGCATTTTGACACTGAGAGCAAACATTCTTGTGAGATACAAAGAGGCACAGTGCGCAGGAACAGCAATCCAAGTTGTGCCAGCTAATTTGATATCTAGCTACTGGCTTTCCTATCTGACAATCAAGTTGCACTTCTTCCTCAACTCCATCAGTCATTAAGCAAACATTTTCCTCTCTGGGCCCCCAGGCCAGTCACCTCTTCCCAGCTGTCTCTGAGCACTAACACTTTCCCTTCTCTGCATGCAAAACAAACAAACAAACAAAACTTGCCCAACTAGTCTTTGGAAAAGTGTTTCTACTTGCTTCCCCCCCTTTTTGCTTTCTAATACTTCTGGTATTTTTCACCTAACTTTTATTTTAAAGCATATAATCTATTTACAAAGTTTAAAAATCAACTGTAAAAGGTATTAAGTTCCATTTCCACTTTTTGCTGTTTGAAGATTCAGTTTTTGTCATACTTCTGGTTCCATCCCCTTCATCCTCCCTTTCCTCCTATAGGTAGCTTTTATTGGTTTCTCATTGGTCCTTTCAGTGGTTCTTTTTCTATTAGCATACCAGCTATGCATAATAATGGGTTTCCTTATGACATTTTCACACACACATATATATAAATATACTATTTATATATTAAATGTATTTTGATTCTATTCACGATTACCTTCTCTTGTCCCCCTCCCCCTTCTGCTGATCCCTTTCCTCTACCCAACTATTATTTCAGGGCTGGAGAGATGGCTCAGTGGAGCACTGACTGCTCTTGCAGAGGACCTAGGTTCGAGTCCCAGCAACCCACATGGTGGCTAACAGTCATACATAACTCCAGTTCTAGGGGATCCAATGCCCTCTTCTGACCTCTGTGGGCATTGCACAATACAAGTGCACTTACACACATGCAGGCAATACACTCATACACATAAAATAAAAATAATAAATAAAAATAGTCATATATTCTTCGGTAGTTTTATAATTAACTACAATGGACTTAGTTCGTCTCTACCCCCATTGAACTCCTCCCAGAACCCCCCACATCCTCCTGCCAACTTTATGTCTTCTTTTACTTTTGAAAATAACACACCAAGTTCAATTAGTGCTGCCCATATGCACATCAGTAAGGCAATTCACTAGAGCTTGGACAACCTACCTTGGGCCATATGGTTAAAGAAAACTGATTCTCCCTCCCTTAGCAGCCATCACCTGCCAAAGGTTATTCAGTTAGGGGTGGGGCCTCATGAGCCCCTCCTCTATCCATGTTGGAATGTTGGCTAGCTTGATCTTGTGTAGTTACTGTGTAGGCAGCCACAACTGCTGTGAGAGTTCATGAGTACATGGGCCACACCATTACCAGAAGGCACTATTTCACTCCAGTTCTTCTTGACCTCTGGCTCTTATAATCTTTCTGGCCCCATTTCTGTGATTTTTTTTTTCTGAGCCTTGTCAGGGGAGAGCATATGATTCAGATGCCCCTACATGGACCCTTAAACATGTTTTAGTGTGTGTGTATGCATATGCATGTTGGGGGTGTGTGCCACAGCATGTGTGTGGAGGTCAGAGGACAATTTTATGGAGTAGGTTCTCTCCTTCCACTGTGGGTTCTGGGGATCGAATTCAGGTGTTCAGGCTTCTGCAGCAAGCCTCTTTACCTGCTGAGCCATCTTTCTGGTCCAACATAAGTCTTTGTACTTCAGGTTTAAACTATAGTGCATTAATATAATTCACATAAACTCTGGCTTCTTTAGAGTTATATTTTTTAAAAGATAAAAGTGTTTTCTAGAATGAGTTTTCAAGGTGCCTTGATTCTAAGAGCTTGGAGACCTAATGGTGGAATAAGAGCTTCTCAAATATCAATGAGCATCAAAATCACTTTCCCTTTCAAAAAGAACAACTAAATATATCTCTTATGAGAAAAGCAAAGTGTAGACATCAAGAATTATCCAGCAAGAATTTTATTGTCTTGTGATTTCTGCTTTTCCCCAATGCTCTCAATGCTCTCAGTGTACTTGTGGACCCTTTATAAGTAGAAAGAAAAATAATGTTACTAAAAATACTAACGAATTTGCAGTTTCTATTTTATGAACAAGGAAAGGGATACAAGGCCTGGCAAATGTGATAGTATTTTAAAAATAACAACTATTTGTATAAACCTAAAAGAAAGTATATCACAATTCTTTTTTTTACTTTTTTTTTTTTGAAACAGGGTCTTACTATGTACCCCACGTTGGCCTGGAACTCATATATATAGCCCAGGGTGGCCTTGAATTCCCAAGTGCTGAGATTACAAGTATGCACATTTTTTTAAACATGTAAGAGAAAGATGCCTAATCTTAGCAAGTAATAATAATACAATAATAAATGTGACTTTTCTAAGTCTAAGGGAGAAGTCGTAATAAAATGTGACTTATTTTAGCAAAGAAAGCATTATATTGGGAATTACTTATATTAAAAATAGGCTTCTTTTCATTTCTTCAGAGTGCCTTGTGTATATATACACTACACAACACACACACACACACACACACACACTCAGCATTCAGTTCATTTCTCATTAGTATGAGACATAGATCAGACCATTTTATTTTGCTTTTTAAAAATTGAAAATTTTATCAAAGCTTAGAACATGCATGAGTAAATATATATTATAGAAGTACTCTTCAAAAAATTAGTGCTAAGCCATTTTAATTTTAATAACATTTATTACAAATCACATTTTATAAACACTATATAAATTACATATAAAAGCTACACATCAATATACAGATTCACAAGAAAAATATCAGATTTTAATGCAAGAGAAATATACTAATATGATGCTTAAACATGTATGACAATTTAAAAAATCACTTTTCATTGCAAATAATTTTTCATGAATTAAAAATCTATCCAGACATTAAATGTAATTAATACATCATTATTACTATCAAAGTTTAGAATTACAGAAACAACTATCATAACACTACTTACTGATTTTTGAAGTTCAAATGTTCAGAAGCCAACTATCATTAAATAAAAAGAAAAATTAGGTAAAAGCTCTTATCTAAGTAACCAGAAAATTTTAGGCTTTGGTTAAGAGACACTAAATTTGATGGAAAAAAAATCTTAAATCAACATCTCCTTTATATTCCTGAGTTTTTGCAAAATATCATAGATAAGATAAAGAACTCAATGTATACCTTTGTATAACAGCATTGCATTTTAGTTTTTTCAAAGTACTGTGGTTATTTTAAATGTGCATGATGATATTTAATAATATAATCAAGATAGAAAAGAACATTTACTTTAGCTTAGCTGAGGGAAAAGTTATTGCCTCTGACCACTATTTGCAAAAGTCACTTGTAAATTATGATCAAAATTACATTATACCTGCCAGTAGTTCTTATTCACACCTTATATATCATACTGATTTTATAGAACATAATGCTCTTATAAAAAAATGCTGAAATGCTAATGGTCAGCACATGGCCAGGCACAGTATAGGTGCTCAATATTGGTAATTTAAATTTAAAAAGTCTCTGAATGTATTATTTCTACACATTAACATACAAGTCAATGTAGCAGTTATAAGTTAGCCTGAAAATATCTAAAATCATTTAAACATGAAAATACATTTTTTAGTTAACCATCATAAAAGGAATTTTTACAAGTGGCCAGTTTCAATCTCCGTTTTATCAAAATAGAATTTCAGATTCCTTTAAAAAAATCGGCCTATGAAAACTGTTTTCCTATTAGCTGGTACATGTGATATAGACAGAAGTATCAGAGCCTTCTTACAAGATCAATAATCAACTCCTTCAGAAGTGATTCATTTAGATCACAACACACCCCTTAAAACAGTATCCCCTGAAGTCTGAATCTGTGCATCTGAAGACTAGGTCCAACAATATAGATTTTTGAACAACCTTCCTGCTTCCTGGAAAATTACTATGATCACGTGGATTTGAGAAGTAATACTTTCAAGCAACCAAAATTTTATTATACTTGAACATTACTTGTCATGATTAAAAAAAAGTATCAAAATTTTGAATAACCTAAGTATTCCTTACCTAAAAAGTCATAAGGTTTTGCTCTAATTCTCTTGAAGAGCTGATCAGTTAATCACCTTTGACAAATCTGCTGGTGACTGGTGTTCTACAGTTTTAGTGTTGCATATACCTTTTCTTAACCAGGAAGCAGAAAAGTCATCTAGCAGTTGTATTTAAAGACTATACAAAATATTATGTCGACTCCATGTACAAAATCACATTAGTTATTATTGTAATGCAATTAAGTAGCAATTATTTAACTGGATACGTATATCTGAAAAAGTGCATAGTTTTATTTTAATTATTACCTAGTAATGAATTCCTCTAAATTAAAAGAGAAAATAGACAACAAAATATATTCTCAATGAATATCATGGAGCATTGAGGAAAGTTGGAAAGTTTAAATTATTAGAGACTTAAACATTTAAATTAGGATTAAAATCATGAACTGGTAGCCACTTATATTTTTCTATTAAGAGTATTAGATCAAGAGAAATAAAACTGCAAGCTTATTGAAGTGGGTTAATTTATAAGCTGATTAAAAGTACTTAATTTAAATGAACTATTTTTGACCCACAAGTAAATGAGACAGTATTTAAGGAGTTATTTAAAAATAGCCTTTAACAAGTTTAGCATTAGTAAAAATTACCAAGGGCTAAATTACTAATACAAATAAGCATATTATAAAGCTCTATATACAACAGTTGGAAAAGGCTTAAATACCACACTGAGTTTCATATCCCCATCCGTATCTCAGCAAAGTTGTAGAAGCTGTCTACATCTCCAGATGCAGTCTCCTTCCTTTCTGATACAAACATCTATTTTAAATAGAAAATGAACAAAAAATTAGTTCTGTAGCTCAGAACAAAGTCACAAGCTTATTTTTTATGTATTTATATTTTATATGTATGAATGTTTTGCCTGAGTGTATCTAAGTGTACCATGTGCATGCAGTGCCTGTGGAGGCCAGAAGAGGGCATTGTGTCTTCTGGAACTGGAGTTATGGACAGTTATTAGCTGCTATGTCGGTGCTGGGAACTGAACCCAGGTCCTCTGGAAGAGCAGCCAGTGGTCTTAATCAATGAGCCATCTCTCCAGCTCTATAAGCTTTTTAAAAAGAAATTCATTTGCATTATCATAATATTTAATCTGTATATTTTCTATAGAACCCACACAACACGATTTTAATAGCTACAAATTAAATTCTTTTAATAGTATAAAAAGTATCTATTAGTTGTACAAAATAGTGGGCTTCACGATGACATGTTCATACATGTATATGAATACTTTTGATTGTATTCATTAGCTACCCTCATCTCTCCCTCTCCCACTGGTCCCCCCTTCCTGCTCCCTAACAGTCCCCTTCTAGTTTGTCTTTTGTTTTCAAATTCAACATATGAAAGAAACATGCACTACTTCCTAAGTTTGGCTTATCACACATAACATAATACACTTTGTTTTCATAACACCAGCTGTATTTTATTATACTTGGGATTTTACTGTTTAATGTATAACATTCAATATTTTAAAAGCTACTGAATGTGAAAGTTTATGTAAAGAAATATTATCAAGAAGTTTACACAAGAGGATCACAAGTCCAAGGCCAGGCTATGCTATATAGTAACACCATGTCTCAAAAAAAGAATTCTTATTTTCTTCAGTTTACTGATGATAATCTCAGCTAAGAAGCAAAATTTGACATTATTCTTTTCAAAGCTGCTAAGATTACTAATACTTATTTACTTATTTACTTATTTATTTATTTTTTGGTATGGAGGATAGAATCCAGGGTCACACACATGCTAGTAATAAAGCATAGGCAAGCACTCTACCACTGAGCCCCAGGTCTTGCTATGTTGCCTAGGCTGGCTTTGACTCAAGCATCCTTCTGCTTAAGCCTCTTGTTAAGCTTTCTGAGTAGCTGTATGTTAGTAATTTAAAAAATTTTTATTTATTATTTTTATTTCTATGTGTATGAGTACATCGTCTACATGTATATAAGTGCACCCATGTCATGCGGGTGCTGGGAATTGAACCCAGTTCCTCTGCAAGAGCAGTCAGTCCAGAGCCATCTCTCCAGCCCCAATGTTAGTAATTTTATATGAATTATTTTCTAAACATTGGTAACCCAGCAAATTTAGGGCAAGGAGTTAGAAGAGACCTGGATTCTGTTCTAGCTCTATCATATGCTTACCAGTTTCCACACTTGTAAAATGAGAAAATTCAACTTAAGTCAACTCAGAGGACAAAAAACAAAAATACTTAAGAGATTTATCAGAAATAGTCAATTAGATCTTTATTCATTTAATCTTCTTTATATTTGATTTTAAAGTTACATAAACTATTTAAATTAAAAAATTTAAACTATTTAAATTAAAAAATTTAAACAACAATCTCAGAAACATATTTAGCAAATGACCAAATTATAATTTCTAAATAATTACTGTAAACAAAGTTTTAGTTAGCAAGGAAAAATCAAAGGTTAGTTCCCAATTATTATTTACCACAAGTTTTAAAAAGCATGATGTTCTGGGTTAAGGTATATACCATGTATAAAAGTACTATTTGGTTGTAAGGAAAAGGAGATAAAATGAAAAGTTAGATTGAGATACAATCAATAAGATCTTATACCTTCGTCCCATTGAATATCTTGTTTACAATAAGGTGACATCCTTCTACAGAACCATCTCCATTAAACTCCAAGGCAATCACAGGACCTATAAGTGAACCCAAGAAATATTTTAGCATCAATACAAACACACTGTAAACTGATCTTTGTATTTCTTCTGTTTTAGTCTTTTGACATAGGGTCTCACTATATAGCCTGGCTGGTCTGGAAGTCACTATGTAGATTAGGCTACCCTTGAACTTGCCTCAACCCTCCTGCCTCTGGCTCCTGAGTACTGGGATTACAGGTGTGCACTGTACCTAGCATTAATTTTTGCATTCTTCCCTAAGAAATCTACAGCATCTTTACTAGGAGTGAGGGAAGAAGAGGGAGATAGAAGGACACACCACTTCAGCTCCTTTTCCTACTCCAATCATAAAGCAAATCGACAGTGAATCTCATCCTATGATGAGCAGCTCCAGTGCTATTATAGGACTAGTGTCACATTTTAAAAAATTATGTGTATATATGTGTCTCTGTGGGTATGTGCATGTGAGTAGAGGTGGCCACAGAGGCCAGAGGCATCAGATCCCCTGGAGCTGGAGTTATAGGTAGTTGTGAGTCACTGACATGGGTGATGGAAACTGAACCTCAGGTCCTCTGCACAAGCAACAAGCACTCTTAACCACTGAGCCGTCACTCCAGCCCTCCTGTGTCACATTGTTAAAGAGTTAGAAATTGTCTGGTTCTTTGGCTTTTATTCTTTTTTAAAAAAAAAATCTACACTCATTTAGCAGTGAAAAGAATAGTGGGCAAAATAGCAAACAGGATCACAAGCAATCCAAGTCAACATGAGCAGGTCTTGCCAGGCAACCAGCCTTGCTTCTACTTACCAGTCAAGTTCTGGGCCACCAACAATGGAGCTAAGCCAAAAAGGAATTGAGGCCAGGCACCGAAGTAGTGCCTGTCTGAAACTATTTTCCTTCAGTATGTCTTAAAGCTACATTCTAAAAACAAAGATCAAGTTTTTATCTTCTGAATAGAAAGATTTGTGCCTCCTTTCCCATACATTAATTTGAATATCTTTAAAACCTTCTGCGCCTTAAATTTTTGAGTAAAGATTCATGATTTAATCTTTGTAAGCTCAGACTGTAACACAGAATTGTTGGCAAACATGGCCAAGGCCAATTAGATGAAAAAAATGTACTTTAATTCAATTAACATTTATTCACCTAGCAGTATATTCCTAACAGATTTGCTTTTTATCTCCTATGGTAATAAAGAAGTCCTGAGCGCCAGTGATTTACAAATTTCTTGAGAAAAGACAAACTGGTCAAACAAATATAATGAAGTACAAAGTGTGGAATACTAAGGTGAATAAATATGAAATGCTAAGTTTAATGTAGTTATGTGCCCTAGACAAATCAAAAGTATAAGATCACATTAGACACCAGAATAACTTAAGGGCTGTGATTTAATACAGAAAACAAATATAGAAGGAAGCAATGTAACAGTCAGCTGTACACTCAGATACAGAGAACAAACTCTGAGTTTACTGTCTATTTAGATTGTGACAGAAACTGAGTAAAGACAAGGGAACAGCAAGCATTTTCTTGCTCTTGGCAAAGAGGCTTTGTGGAAAACGTGGGTAATAATAAGAGGCTTTCGAATGAAGCAAAGAGACAAATGCCTTGTAAGGGAGAATATTCGTACGAAAAAGTTCTTATGTTGAAGAGCCTACTCCAACCCATGAATCTGTTCAGAAAGTTGGACTGTGATGTGAAAAGGTGAATCTCAGAAGGGACCCCCACCCCAAATGTTTACCCTATAGAAGGAAAGAGGAGGTCAGGTAGAGGGGCAGGAATGGAAGCAAAGGTTCTCTCAATGTACCTGCCCTTTTATATAATTTGACATTAGATATCATGTCAATGCTTCAAAGCCAAAACTAAATATGGAAAAAAAAGCAGTACCTAAAAATTAAAAGCAAACTAAAATAAATGAGTCTAACTATCAAGTTAAAGACATGACCACACAGAGAAAATAATTATTCTAACCAACCTTAGAAGAATCTCAAGTGTTGGGATTACAGCCACCATGCCTGGATTTTTCAATGTCTGCTTTTTATATGTTAAAATTTTCCCACTAAAATCAAAGATCCAAGGATGTGGTGGTGCACACCTTTAATCCTAGCAGAGGCAGAGGCAGGCAGATCTCTGTGAGTTCAAGGCCAGCCTGGGCTATATAGGACCTTGTCTCAAAAAAAATTGACAAAAATAAAATGAAAGAACCAAATGTGGTGACTCATGTCTATAATCCTAGCACTTGGGAGACAGAGGTGGGAAGATTTTTGTGAGTGTGAGGACAGTCTGGGCTACACAGTGAGCTCTAGGCCAGCCTGGGCTACTATGTAAAACCATCTCAGAAAACCAAGAAACAAAATGAAAAACACAGATAAAAGATCTGAGCCAAACATGGTTGGCATATGCCTGTAGTTCAGGAGGCTGAATTAAAAGAATCACTTGAACTCAGGAGTTTTAAGATCAGCTTGGGCACTATAGCAGGACCCCATCTATAAATAAATATAACAATAAATATCTAACTGGCAAGGTCAGAAAGCTCTTAACAGAGAAGGGCCTGTTGTATATTTTTTTTTACATTTATTTATTTAGTGTGTGGTTATGCACACATGCATCATAGTGTATGTGTGGAGATCAGAGGACAACTTGTAAGAGTTAAGTTCTTTCTCTTCTTCCACCACATGAATTCTAGGGATCAGCTTGAGTTGTCAGGTAGGTAGCAAGCTCCTTTAAACTCTGAGCCATCTTGCTGGCCCCATCTGTACATTTTATAACAAAAAATACCTACCCTTATAAAAAAGAAACGTATAATCTTAAATTTTCATTTAGAAATAATGTGAACATATGATTTCTTTTTCTTCTTAAAAATAATTTCTTGCTATATCCACTGAAAACAGCAAAAAGAAATGACAACCCAGTGATAGATATCACCTAACCTGAGTTTCTAAATATTGTTCTCCAGTGAAAAGAACTACATCATCCTAGAAAACAGGTAATTCCATATCTAGGGAAAGAAATACATTAAGATGAAAGTAGAACCAGGTATGGTGATGGCACCAACCTATAATTGCAACATTTGAGGCTGAGGCAGGAGAATAGTGAGTTCCAAGCCAGCATGAGCTATACAGAAAGACTTGGTTTCAAAAAAATATCATGGAGCATCTGGGTGAGTTTTCTTTTTTGAGACAGTATCTTACCATGTAGCCCAGGCTGGCCTTCCAACCTCCCCCATTTGTAGACTGGGACCACAAATATCCAACAGCATGCTGAAACATCTTGCTAAACCAAAAATCACTGAAGATATCAAAGGTCAATATTGAGTATTGAAAGGATACAAAATCAGGCCAGGTGTGGTGGTATACGCCTTTAATCCCAGCACTCTGTGAGGCAGAGGCAGGCGGATCTCTGTGAGTTCCCGGCTAGCCTGGTCTACATAATGAGTTCCAGGCCAGTTGGGGCTACAGGGAGACCCTGTCTCAAAAAGACCAATAAAAAAAAGAGAGAGAGAAAGGATATAAAATCAAGCCCAAAGGGGCTACCAATGCCCGAGACATGTTAAAATCAGACAGAATAATTATCACAGCTTATTAGCTTATTAAAACCCAGCACTATAATCCCAGCACTTAGGAGGCAGAGGCAGGTGAATCTCTGTGAGATCCAGGTCAGCCTGCTCTACATAGCAAGTTTCAGGCCAGCTGGGGCTACAGGGAGGTTTTTGTCTCAAAAAAGAAAAAAAATATTTTAAAATGTTTGCATTCATAATGATATTTAAAAAAAGAAACAAAACTCACTAGACACTACTGGAAGTTGTTAGGATGCCAATTCATAACTCTGAAAAATCAATGCTTATTCTTTATTCTGATTTTCTGATATGAAATATATTTCAAGTCAACCAAACAGCACTAGTGTATAAGAAGTTCTGCTAACATCTGTTAATAAATGCAGAGGTAATGATTCTTTATTCTTTTATTCTTTATCAGAACATGAAGAACTTCCAATAAGTGACTTAATAATTTTCTAACAAATACCGGTAAAACAGGTATATACTATACTATAAAACAATTTAAAGTAATGTGAATAATCCTAAATTTAAGAAAACTATTATATTGACAGTATACTTCTTAAGTAGCCCTATTTGTCTAACAATGCTTGCTGTAATTACTGTGATTACTTCAAAGCGAACTATGAGGTCAACAAAGATCACTGGTTGTACATCAACTAGATTACAGCAACAGTCTCCTAGCTCTCTCTCTCTCTCTCTCTCTCTACTTGCCCATTACAACCAGAGTGATAATTACATTTTAAAAGGACTATGACTTTCCTCTGTTCTAAAACCATCAAATTAAATAGGATTTATATTTTCTCATTTTCTATTGCTCTAAAAATAACTGGCAGTTCAAAGAAATAACTTTAATAATACATTGGGATGTTGATAACATATGAAATGGTAAAATGTATGACAACAAGGATACAAAGATTGGAAAGAAGAACTGAGACTATAACGTAAGCCAGTCCTTACACTATGGTTGAAGTTGGATAATATTAGAAGGTAGGTGCAAACTGATGTGAAATTGAGTTTTAGAAAAAACTAATAAGTCAACATAAGATTGAATGGAATAATAAAATGCTTAATTACACAGAAAAGGAGGTTTAAAAAGAAATAAATGGTACAGAAAACAACTAGCAAGATGATAGACTTTGATCCAACTCTATCAATAATCCCCTTCAATATGAATGGTCTAAACACAGCAGTAAAAGAAAGATTATCAGACTGGACTGAAAAGCAGATATATACTCTCAAAAATTTTAATTTAAATATACAGCTTTGATTTAAAAAAACATGAAATAAAACACTAACCAATTAAAAATAGAGTAGCTTTATTAATTTCAGACAAAGTAGATTTTAGAACAAGGAAGATAATCAGAGATAGATTGCCATAATATAACAAATGCACATGCACTTAACAGACCTTCAAAGGACACAAGGTAACCCTGACAGGAAAAGAGATGTAGACATACAATTATAGCTGTA